TGGACTTTGACAACATTTAGTGATGCCTACATTGTTCCTAATTGACAAAAAAAGTACATTATCTTCTGAGGGAGCTGCAGACAACATAGTAAGTTTCAGAAAATTTTGTTAGGCCACTGTGGCCTAAATACAAAAAGAAAAAAAAGCTCTGATACTGCCATCAGAGATTTTGGTGAAAAATCTGAAATTGAAACTCTTATATTGATGTTCTTATCTATAAACGAAACTATTGTGGTGAATCAGGAGTAAAATTTATCTGCCTAAACAAACTGTTTCACTTCAGCGCCCCTTTAACATGCTGAAACCACAATATTGCCATGTGGCCATGACAGAGAAGGCAGCAGCCTGTGGGCTCAAATCAAAACTATGAACCTGTGCCCGGTAAACGAGAAGTTGAACTACAAACAATATGCGCTGTACCAACGCCTCCTAGAAAAACTATGCCTGGAACGTCGCTTCTTTCCAATTGGGAGCTACCTGCCAGCACAAAATCTCGGAGGCCATGCCTCCTGCCGCGTGTTGCAACTGTCCGCCGCGTGGAACCGCTCGCCTCCGTACCGCTCAGTCACGTAACATTACCTCACCGCTCTGCCACGTGACATCACAGCTGCTCGGAGGCAACTGTGAAAGCATTCCTGTGCTTGCAGGGGTTCGTACTGGAGGAGGAGGGGAAAATCCGAGGGTAGAGTGGCGCGTTCGCGGCTCACGTTCCGGGCATAATTTTCTAGGAGGCATTGGCTGTACACTGATAGCAACTAACGCAGCGTTGGCCATCAATAATCTGACTAGCGCAAAAGCGCGTCTGCTATATACATGTGCCATCGAGAAATCCAGCCTTATTGCTGGTAACTCCACAAGCTCTCAAGTTGTTCCCACCTTGAGTGCAGTTCTAACAGAATGATCATAGACATCATGGAAGTTTCTGAAATGTTGCAACAAGGTCTGTGTAGAGAGTAGCATGCAGTCTTCGCGGCTAAAATCTGAATACATCGAAGTAACAGGTGCGGCAAAATGATTATGTCATGCGCTGTAAGGTTAAGACTGAATCACATGATTTTTTCATTGTGCACCTATGTCAAGGTGCGCGAGTGTTCCTTGCATTTCACCAACATTTAAATGCACCAGCCTCCTTGGTGGGAATCGAACCTACATCCTTGAGGTCAGCGTTACAACACCATAGCTGCAAAGGTACGATAGAAAGTTCCATAGATAAACAATTTATATTTTAACACATTAAAAACGGAAGAGAACGAAGCTGCTCAGATTTAAATCGCACTGACTTCCAAAAAGTATGAGGCGTGCCAGTGTCCAGACGCTGCAGCAGAGTTTTTTTGGTGCAACATTTTATTTTTGTGACATAAGGGTACACGCATTACAAGGGTAGGCAGCACATGACTAGAGAAAGGCTGCAATAACAAGAGTTCTGAGATCACTGCATGAACACGAGAATCACAGCATCATTAATACAACGGAAGCAATAAAGAGAGCCCCATCAACACCTCTAAAGCTGAACAGACTTTCTGATGGCACACGTTTGCACCGCATAACAGCACGCAGATTCAAATCCTTGTTAGCGTAAACAGCAGTACTTTTTTTTACCACTTTTGGAACCGCAGTCACACTTGCGAGACTTCGTGCTGTTAAACACTTGACACGTAGGTGTCTGCGGCTGAGTTGGTTTTCAGCACAATTCAAAGAATGCTGTTCTAGAGGAAGAGATCCCGACTCTGATCATATGACTTAAAAGTGAATGTATTTGAACATGGATTCCTTGAAGGAGCCGAAACATCAACATGCATTAGTTTTTTAAATCTTTTTGGTCGGCGTCCGTATCACTTCTTTTAGAATGTTTCATGCCGGCCAGACAGGCTTTCGACGTATTCTTGAAGAATGCCGTCGCTCGTTGAAACCAATTTTCTTCACACCAAGTAATCTGAAATCTTGTGCCCGTCACTACGCCCACGAGAGTGATCGACAAACCATACTCCCTTTACTTTCCTGAACAGTAACAAGCAATCGTTTTCGAGAACAAACTTCTCCACAGTGGAAACAATCTCAGAGGCTCCCATAATTCACTTTTGTATTTTTGGTTACTAGAGCCAAGTGCACTGTTTTATAGATATATGAAACACGTAACATTGAATGTAATTGACTAGAACTACTTACTGTGACATCACAACATTATACAAGGTGTGTTTTAGCTTACTAAGCCATGCAGGCACATACAAGGTGTGTTTACTTCATACTCTAACGTGTCATTGAACATTGTTTCAAAAGCTGGGTAAGACATTTGATCAATTGTCCTGTCAAAGCATGTTCCCAGCATATAAAGACCTGAGCGATTGCTTGCAGTCAGAGAATTTTTGATGTGTGTGAATGAAATGAGTTTTAGCTGATCAACGAAATAACTAAGTGAACTAAACTGTCATGGGACTTCAAGTAATGTCTCTGGAAATAAGCCCACTAAGTGACATACAAATTATAATTCAGAAACAATGCTAGAAAGGAACCACTACATTAGAATGACAGGTCATGTGAAACTATCCGACTTGAGCAAGTAAAAGCTTAATGTCAATGAACGCTGAACACTGTCAACCTTGCAGTGATAACACACGGTGATGGCATTAGTGGGACGTTGCAAGTTGCGTGTCATATTTTTCCTGTCTGTGCTCTATTTGTTCAGTGTCTACCAGAGTTACAAGTGATAAATTTTGTTGCTCTAGCGAAAATAACCTTCATTGCAATAACAACGTCACATCGCATAAAAAATGATGGAATCACAATTTGTTAATGTACTTCAAAGACGTAAGGCCAGTTGTCGCTCTGGATCTCCACTCACAGGAAGATTTGCCTATCTAACATCAGAAAACACATGCATGTGTATGCACATAAAATGCAAGCATGTGAATATGTAAGTACAGATATAATAGTGATGATTTTTTAGTGCGCTGTAAAGACACTCCGACAGCTAGTTCCAACACAAGACAACAGAAATTGCTATGAAACCATGAATACTGTGTGGTTTCTAAAATTGTCGTAAGCATCTAAAAGCAGTCAGAAATACTATTAATGACAACACCATGCCATCTAGTAGAACAACATATTATAGACCAGAAAAATTTTTTAAAGCTTACTAATAATTTCCGCCCTCTACAAAAATCGAGCAGCATTATCACAGCCAACAACAAAGAAGTAGATATATAATATGCTGCTTGTTACAAGGATTTGAGGCAACCTGAGTTGGACAGCATTTTAGACACTGTAAAAGCCCAGCTTCAGGTATTGATGTTGTAGAAGAGCTTATAGTTTATCTATTACTTTATTTATTTACCTATCTGTTTATGCAGTTTACTATAACTGGCCTCAAGTGTAGACTAGTCTCATGCGAGGAAGTTCAAATGAATACCATTGAAGAGCAGTTTAAGACCTAGTGTATCAAGTCGTAATGAAAACATGCAAATAACAATATGATAACAAAAATGAGCTTGTAAAATATGTAAATCAACATGACCATCAAACAATGCCGACAAAGAGTAAACTGACAAAACCAACAATGCTTGTGTTCCATGGTTTTCTTCGCTTGTTCACGCCTTGTTCATGACGCTTCCTTGTAAAGATACGCTGATCAGCAGTATGTGAACAGAAGAGACTTCAGTGCAAAACCAATGCTTTGAGAAGGCGTCATCCTTTGCGAGACAAATGCGAATATAGTATCCCGAGAATCGTTTTAAGGAATGTATGACTACATTAGTGAGATCTTGCATGACTCGGCACAAATGAGTAAGCGTTAATGACTCAGAGTTTTTTTCGATACTGTGTCAAGCTCACCAGCTTGCACAGTCCTCCGTAACGTTGCTGACTATTACTTCATTATATCATGAGTTGAGCCATGCAAGAGTGAATTGAGTTGAACAATATTTGTTTGAGAGACAATGGCTTTGGACTACACTGGACTATATCTTCCTTTGTTCGATAAGCAGTCTGAAAGCTCCACAGACAAGCAATTAATAGCTTTGCTGGTCTTTCATTTAGAAAAACAAATAAAAACAATGCGGAAATAGGATTCTGTCATTACAATCGAAAACCTAGATTCAAAACCTCACCACGAAAAGGTTACGCTAAAAGGCAGAACACTACGTTTGTTAAATAGTATATTTGTTACTTGCCAATATTGATGATAGGTGTTCCACATTTATGTTGTTATATCATAGGCTTCATTACATCCAGGTATATTATATCGAGGTAGAACTGTATACTAAGTATACATACTTAGATGCATTACTGGTATTTGGGGATGGCAAAAGGAAATCTGCGATCACAGTTTGTTCGAACGATACAACCATGCATGAAGCTGTTGCGAGTGTTCACTGGAATATAAGCCTCAAGTTTTGTTTGAAATAAGGCAACTAGCATAACATTTCGTATAGCATAGGCGGTGCTTCACCGCATCTGTTTAGTGCACAGCGGCCCACTGACGGCAGATGTGAGACACTGCTACGAAACCGTGAGCTCGCAGTTGCGTTGTGACACTACAGAATAATGGATCGCTAAACCAGCTAGTAATACAGTAGACTCTCATTAAACAGAACCTGGTGGGAACAGGAAAATATCTTTTGTTTGACAGGAGTTCCGTTTACTGAGAGATGATCAGGGGTGCAAAAGTAAGAACGGAATCAATCTTATCGAAAGCCCTTGTTTCATTAAAACAGCAGTTCCAATTAACAGATCGCCATTTACTGTGAGTCTACTGTGCTCCTTGACCATCTTGAAAACAATGCGAAAGCAACACAGACAGAAGAAGATACGACAGAAGAAGAAACCATTGCAATCTTTGAGGCGGTGAAGGTGGTTGGAAAGGCTTGTTGTTAATTTTTAGGATTCAGAATAGTGCCTTCCGACACAATGTGCTAAGTGGTCCCATGGGCAACAGGTTGTCGGTATTTAAATGAGCCTAATTTTTTAACAAAATTTATTTGAGTTCAGTGCAGTGCGCACTTTCATCTCTCTTTTTTGTCCGTGTTGTTTTTGCGCTGTTTTCAAGATGTTAAAGTTGTGCGGCTATGGCTCCTTACGTCCAGTCGGAATGGAGATGGCCCCTGGCTGATGTTGAATGACTAACGTGCAGCAGTTGGTCCGTGCGAGTTCAGAGGCGGAACTTGAACACCTTACGCGGGCTGTCCAGATCAGCAACATAAAGTGACTGACCGTCAGGAGAGAGTGTGATGGCATGTGGCTGCACCATTGGCTGCAATGAAAAAGAAAAAACGTTATGGATTTGAGGCATGATTCACAATTTTGTTAGCTTGACATGATGGCTTGAGAAGACGCTACAGAGTGAGGCTAGCAATGCATTCGACCAGTTCCAACCTTGTTCAAGTTAACTTTGCAATAGTTTGAAGTTGCCTCAAAGGACAAAGAAAGGCTTGATTGATGACCACCCATTTATGTCATGCAGCCACAAGAAAATCCATGTGAATTGCTCACTTAGTAAATCTTCCTAGTTGGTGAACTATTGCCCTGGTCTGGGGATCGAACCTGAGACCAATGCCTTTCTTGGAGTGTTTTACCAACTGAGCCTGCCTCAAAACCAGCAATTCGCAGTGCGAGGGTGAGTTAGCAACTCAAAGCGTATAGAAATAGGATGCTATATTGATCAACATTCAACATTGTTTATTTGCAGGAGAAAAAAATACAGAATTTTTTCCTGCGGGAGGCAAAGACTAAAGGCTAAAAGCCTGACGAGGTCTCACCCCCTATAACGGGTTTGATAACCAGACCAGGACAAATTTTTCCTTCATTTAGAAGCTTTCCTTAATGAAAAATGCGCATAGACTTTCTTCTAGCTTAATGCTACAAGTGGTGTTTGGTTAGTCCGCAAACATGCATAAGGAAAAAAGAAATAGGTGGCAACGCCACCTTGTGTTTACACATCACTTGCAGTGAAATTGTAGATTTTGAGGGTGTTTCATACATACTTAATTATTTGAATGGAGCTGTCTTAAAATTTCTACGTGTCCCCACAAGAGCAAACACATTCAAAACACAAATTATTAATTAATTTTAAGAAGTTAAAAAATAAAAAAACAAAATATAAGAATAATTCCCAACTCCCTTTAACCCAATGTACTGGCTTGTTGTGCGTGCCCCCCCCCCCCCCCCAAAAAAAAAAAAAAAACCTAGCGCTGCCCCTGCACCTTCGTGCTTCATAACTTCTACGTAAGATGAAAAAGTTGTGTCTGAGCAAATGTTATGGCTGATTGAAGCTTGTGACACTTGTGGAGCTTGTGTACAAAGAAAAAATAAAAGCAGTGCTGCACCGTAATGGCAGTGCCACCGAATCAACTTGGCACTACATTATGCGCCCTAGTGACAAACTATCTGTGCTGATGGTTGTTATTATGCTAACCTTCATAGAGTTTCTTGTAAATATACTAGAGAGAACTCTGGCACTAGTGCCTATGAGAGCTGCAATGCATGGTGCTTCAGCGAGCATGGGTGTGATGGGTAGCACAGATATTTACACATAAGTACACACAGTACACATAATATTCGTACTTCCCTGCTCTGTTTGGCTTTGCATAGCTTGTAATGAGACGACAGTGCGCAAATGTTTGGCATTTGTGCCTCACCACTTTAATCTTTTAGGCTCACCAATCCAAACTGACTGATTAATATCACAATGATTCGTTCTTTTATTTGAAACAAAACCAAAACACAGCAATAACCAAAGCCACATGTGCATTTGAAGCCTGCAAGCTCGAAGACTAGGCAAACTTGGGTACTACCCTTCCTTCCCATGGTCGCTGAATGATTGCTGTGTCAGAGTCCTTTAATTTTAGGAAACCCTATGGCAACCTAGACGCAATAGGCCATGATAAGGAAGACACAAGATGCCTTCATAAATTATGAATGCTACTTGCAAGTGGTGTCGCACGTGACACGAAGATGACTGCACATTGTGCAAAACGAACAGGCAGTTTCGCGATGACTCGTGAATGACGCCGTACATGCTGAATGCTACTTGCCACAGATTCTGGAGTGAAGCGCTCAGGTGTGGCACTTGGCTCAAGCTCTAGCTGGAATGCCGACGACTGGTTGGGGGCCAAGGACTGTACGCCATACAGGGTGTGCCCTGCGCCAGACGAAGGTGGAGGTTAGAGGGGCAGAGGGGAAAGCATGTTAACGCCAAACAACAGAATGGAACGATACAGATGAAAGAAATAAAAGTTAACAGGTGAAGCGCTGCAACAGATGAAGCACTGTACGTGGAAAGGGCTGTGACAGGTCAAGCAGTGAGACGAAGTGCAACGGCACCTTGCCTCTTCAAGCATCGTTTTGTGGTGTTGAGTTCTACTACATTTAACCAACTCGGCCAAGATTACTCTCTGAAGTTGAAACCAGAGCACAGCAGTGTTCTGTCTGTCACTACCATCTCATTTGACAGCCTCACTGCTTATATGGCAACATATTCAAATAAGGTTGTCAGAAAGTGTGGTCTCTGAATAATTACTGAAATCAAGGCTTCGACAGATGTCCATATGGTCAAGAACAATCATTGAATTCGGGAAGAATCACTGAATCATTGAAGGTTGCGAACAAGACTCCCGTTCTGGGTGCCAAAACGTCTTAATACATCTTTATTTTTCTCTTGAGGTCCGTGCCTTTGTATTTTATTGACTGAATTTTTAATGTAACTTATTTTCTTTTACTATTACTGGCTGACAGCTCGATTAATGCACGAGAGTGGGCAGGCATCATTACCAAGAAGACTGCTGTCACGAATGGTTCCTGCTACCATAGGCAGAGAGTACAGGGGAGGGGCTAATGACTTCTTCGGGCTGCTTTATGGGAAGAAGAGCCACCCTGGTGCTGGCCTGGGATATTTTTTAGAAGCTTTGCTTGGGTTCAAATTCATCGCCAATGGACTGTTGGCCATCTTTGCTTGCAGTTATTGCACAGGGGACTGTTTGTGCTCGTTCCTTTTCTTTTTAGGCTTTTCAAATTTGGTTCATGAGGCAGTGACAGGAAGAGAGTTTGGCGCTGTGGTCTCGAAATGCAGCAATTGCACGGCTCTTGTGCACAACAGGTACAGGATGTGCGTGTATGCATCAAAAAAATGAAAGTTTTTCAATGAAATGTCTATTTCATAGAATTTGTTTATTGTCTTCTTAATACTTTCGATGAGTCTCGCTCTCTCTCTCTCTCTAAACACACACACACACACACACACACACACCCACACACACACACACACACACACACACACACACACACACACACACACACACACACACACACACACACACACACCACACACACACACACACACACACACACACACACACACACACACAAACACACACACACAAATATATATTCAGCAGGAAGTTCAGAGAGTCGGTACGTATAGAAAACACAAGCGAGTACACGTACCTGAGAGCAATACTTTCATGCCTAACGTTTCAGCCGTGACATGGCCTTCGTCAGAGAATGAAGAGTAGACAAGCATATGCGTCATGTATTGCTCTCTCGAATGTGTGTGTTTGTGTGTGTGTGTGTGTGTATATATATATATATATATAAGGGAAAGAAGTGTATACCTAAGGGCTCGTTTTTCCGTGTTTTAACACAATATTAATGAGATATAACAGACAGTAATGCCAAGGAATGTACAGGGGAAGTTATTAAAATCAATGGAATGTAAATAAGAATAAAGAAAAGTGGATGAAAAAATTACCAACTGTGAGCAGGAATCGAACCTACGACCTTCGAATTACGCGTTCGATGCTCTAACCGCTGAGCTATCACAGCGGCCCTCCCTCCATCCACTTTTTTGGGTTTATCTGTGAATTTAGAAGTAGGAGCAACAGTCAGCGCCATCTATAAGCCAAACAACGAGTGTGAAAACACTCTTATGCGCATGTTTGGCGTCACGTAGCACGTGAACTTATTATGAGCGGGCAGCTGATTAATTGTCCCTCTTATACAACCTAAACACACCAAGTCTGCCAGTACGAGACCCTCGTTCAATGAAATAAGGGAAAGAAGTGTATACCTAAGGGCTCGTTTTTCCGTGTTTTAACACAATATTAATGAGATATAACAGACAGTAATGCCAAGGAATGTACAGGGGAAGATATTAAAATCAATGGAATGTAAATAAGAAGAAAGAAAAGTGGATAAAAAATTACCAACTGTGAGCAGGAATCGAACCTACGACCTTCGAATTACGCGTTCGATGCTCTAACCACTGAACTATCACAGCGGCCCTCCCTCCATCCACTTTTCTGGGTTTATCTGTGAATTTAGAAGTAGGAGCGACAGTCAGCGCCATCTATAAGCCAAACAACGAGTGTGAAAACACTCTTATGCGCATGTTTGGCGTCACGTAGCACGTGAACTTATCATGAGCGGGCAGCTGATTAATTGTCCCTCTTATACAACCTAAACACACCAAGTCTGCCAGTACGAGACCCTCGTTCAATGAAATAAGGGAAAGAAGTGTATACCTAAGGGCTCGTTTTTCCGTGTTTTAACACAATATTAATGAGATATAACAGACAGTAATGCCAAGGAATGTACAGGGGAAGTTATTAAAATCAATGGAATGTAAATAAGAAGGAAGAAAAGTGGATGAAAAAATTACCAACTGTGAGCAGGAATCGAACCTACGACCTTCGAATTACGCGTTCGATGCTCTAACCACCGAGCTATCACAGCGGCCCTCCCTCCATCTACTTTTTTGGGTTTATCTGTGAATTTAGAAGTAGGAGCGACAGTCAGCGCCATTTATAAGCCAAACAACGAGTGTGAAAACACTCTTATGCGCATGTTTGGCGTCACGTAGCACGTGAACTTATTATGAGCGGGCAGCTGATTAATTGTCCCTCTTATACAACCTAAACACACCAAGTCTGCCAGTACGAGACCCTCGTTCAATGAAATAAGGGAAAGAAGTGTATACCTAAGGGCTCGTTTTTCCGTGTTTTAACACAATATTAATGAGATATAACAGACAGTAATGCCAAGGAATGTACAGGGGAAGTTATTAAAATCAATGGAATGTAATAAGAAGAAAGAAAAGTGGATGAAAAAATTACCAACTGTGAGCAGGAATCGAACCTACGACCTTCGAATTACGCGTTCGATGCTCTACCACTGAGCTATCACAGCGGCCCTCCCTCCATCCTCTTTTTTGGGTTTATCTGTGAATTTAGAAGTAGGAGCGACAGCCAGTGCCATCTATAAGCCAAACAACGAGTGTGAAAACACTCTTATGCGCATGTTTGGCGTCACGTAGCACGTGAACTTATCATGAGCGGGCAGCTGATTAATTGTCCCTCTTATACAACCTAAACACACCAAGTCTGCCAGTACGAGACCCTCGTTCAATGAAATAAGGAAAAGAAGTGTATACCTAAGGGCTCGTTTTTCCGTGTTTTAAACACAATAGTAATGAGATATAACAGACAGTAATGCCAAGGAATGTACAGGGGAAGTTATTAAAATCAATGGAATGTAAATAAGAAGAAAGAAAAAGTGGATGAAAAAATTACCAACTGTGAGCAGGAATCGAACCTACGACCTTCGAATTACGCGTTCGATGCTCTAACCACTGAGCTATCACAGCGGCCCTCCCTCCATCCACTTTTTTGGGTTTATCTGTGAATTTAGAAGGTAGGAGCGACAGTCAGCGCCATCTATAAGCCAAACAACGAGTGTGAAAACACTCTTATGCGCATGTTTGGCGTCTTCTTTCTCTTATTATACACTTCTTTCCCTTATTTCATTGAACAAGGGTCTCGTACTGGCAGACTTGGTGTGTTTAGGTTGTATAAGAGGGACAATTAATCAGCTGCCCGCTCATAATAAGTTCACGTGCTACGTGACGCCAAACATGCGCATAAGAGTGTTTTCACACTCGTTGTTTGCTTATAGATGGCGCTGACTGTCGCTCCTACTTCTAAATTCACAGATAAACCCAAAAAGTGGATGGAGGGAGGGCCCGCTGTGATAGCTCAGCGGTTAGAGCATCGAACGCGTAATTCGAAGGTCGTAGGTTCGATTTCCTGCTCACAGTTTGGTAATTTTTTCATCCACTTTTCTTTCTTCTTATTTACATTCCATTGATTTTAATAACTTCCCCTGTACATTCCTTGGCATTACTGTCTGTTATATCTCATATATATATATATATATATATATATATATATAATATTGTGGGCATTCAATATACGCATCCTCTTCGCCAGCACATTATCATCATTATCATGTGTGGCTCATGCATCCTCATCATTGTCACGCAGCATCATCATCTTGGCTCATTCATCCTAGCTGTCGGCTGCCGGTTCCTCGGGCCTAATAAAAGGTAATCCAACCAAGGACTTCATTTGTGGTGGAGGTGCTGTTAGGTCCCCCGCCATCCTCTCGACCACTCTACCCCCTGGAGCTACGTTCAGGTCGCCGCTTGGGCCAAGTGTCCAGAAATGTTGCACCAAGATGAGGCCGGTGCTTCAGCCGTTCCCACTCCACCACCGCATGCCGCGCCTTCTCACGTCATCAACAGCCTCCAGCGTGAGCCCCATCCCTTCGCTGGTATGCGTGGGGAAGATGTGGAGGAATAGCTTGATGATTTCGAACGTATCGGCGCTGCTAACCGGTGGGATAACACCTACAAACTCGCTCACGTGTCATTCTACCTCACGGGTATTCATCACGGGGATGGCTCATTCATCGTAGCTGTCGGCTGCTGGTTCCTCGGGCCTAATAAAAGGTAATCCAAACCAAGAATTCATAATATATAGATAGATAGATAGAGAGAAATATGAAAGAGTATGTCGAGCGCCATGCTTCCCCTCCGGTACAGTTCAACCCCCTTATAAGAGGCATGCTCCGGGCAGCAATTCTTGCCTTTCATACCATAAGATGTCTGTAATAAGTAGGGCACATCGCAAGCATTTTCTTATCAAATTGTATTTTATTGTATGCACACTGTTGTCCCTTATATCAGTGTCTCTTATGAAAGGGTTCGACTGTACAAACGCCTATGACTGTTACGACTACTGCTACTATATTAGTACTGTATTTACTCGATTCTACCGCGCCCTAGATTGTAAGGCGCACCCGATTTCC